GTTTACGTAATACAGGCTAGTATGTATTGTAAAATTTAAATACTTGTAATAATAAATTGCATGTACTTCACATAACACATTTATCTGTTAACATAATATAATATAGTATAATGTATTGTAAAATTACTGTGTAAATTGTATTAATAAACTCTGTGTAATTTATATAACACATTGTGTTTATTTGCATGATATAGTGTAGTATATGTAAAATTCATCTTCTTGTTTCCATTTTAAATCACAATGAACAATAACAGGGGTGTATCCTGACTATTATAATAATACAGAAAGTTTACAATATGCTGATAAAGCACAAAGTATGGTAACGACTGTTAATGAATTTCAAAGACAATATTTAAAAAAAAATCTTCGTTCATCTCAGTATTCTGAGCACATCTTTTCACAATACCATAAGGCTTTTCAAACGCCTGAGATGTTGAGATGGACATACGATTGTAACTTACTCCTGTGATAAATGGAAGCCATTAGATAACCTAAGATTTTTTTTAAAAAATAACGTTGATAACGCATATTGCTAGGCGAAATTCGGCCCTAAAGATGTAGGGGTCTAAACTTCAGTCAAATTATATCAGATTATGCAGATTATATTACAGATATATCCCTGATTAACATTACACCATTGAATAACCAACTTACATGGCGTACCGTAACATCACTCTTTAAATAAAAGTAAAATTAAACTTACTCGCATTCTTTAACGGCATCTTTGATTGCTTTCACTTTCAATATTCGAAGTTTACAACTCTCTATAATGCGAGCAGACTCTGACGCATCCGTATTGTCTGGCGGAGTCTCCGATGTACTCGGTTTTTCTGGAGGAGTCTTCGTTGACCCATCCATGGTTGATTCGCAAACGGAATATGGCGCCTTGACGACACACCAAAAGTCACGTGACAAGAAAAATACCAGGGGAGATAACTCCTATTTACCTGCGACAAGTTTATAGGTAGCACGACAGTATTTCCCAGAAATTAGAGCGAAATGTTTTACGAACAAGATCGCTGCTTCTATCAGCTCTTACTGGATTAGATATCAATGTTACTATCTTAGAAACTGAAATTGTCAATTGATGTAGACTAATCGTGTCATGGGTAATAATGCATAACCGTTATTCCTTCTGCGACACGTGTTTGCGGGACACATCCAAATGGGCTCCGTCCGTCCGACGGCCCGTGTGAGAGTGTCCATCTTGCACGATAAAGACCCTTCTATGGCTGTTCGGAAAAGAGCAGGCGTGATAACGCTGGCCCGGAGGTCAGAGTTAGATTAACAATAGGGAACATTTATTAAGTAATTTTGACTGGACCTCAAAAATACTATCAACATATCGGAATTTACCTAGTGTAGAAACCCCTTCTTCTCCCTCTCAGTCCTGACAACGGTCTTCTTGCCGCGTCGTGCTGAATGTTAGACTAGGTATACAGTTAGGAACTGGGGTCGCCTTCTAAATTACAGTTTTTAGATCAAGTCAAGTATAACAGATGGCCCCTCTCTACCTCATCTCTGTATCCCACTCTCTCCCATCAATCCTACTTTTCCCCTCTTACTCTTTTTCCTATCTGTTCTCGTCCGCTGAAAGACCGAAAAGTCGTAATAGTGGACGTGAAACCCGTTCACATAAATAATATAAATAAAATCCTTTGTGACTTGTTTTGATTAGCTCTGTTCAATACAAATTACAATTATGATACAGTACAGATAGTTTAATGATAGGTTAAACTGCAATAAATGACTGTTTCAATTGAAGCGTCAGTAAATTGTGTTGCTATATTTTAATATTTGATTTCGATTTTTGTCGCTAGATTCCTAATTGTTGGTATGTACTATCACTGCAAAATCTTAAAAAGACGTAACAACCTACACACCAGTTTTCTATATTATACGTATACAACAAGATTGCGGTGGAACATTCACTAAAGAGGTAAAGTACAAGCTTAAACGTCGTTAGGTATTTTATATCACACGTTTCGAAGTATTGTGTTAAGATATACAATTCGACTCGAATATTTACCAAAATGAGTTTGTGACCCTTACGAAATATAAGCTCGCCTGTCGGAGATTCAGGACTGGGGATTTTATTTTAGAAATTTCCTTGATTTACAAAAAAACTTCGGTTATTCCGTTTACAGCTTCATGTCGGAACTGACAGGTTGTCACCTATCTTGATTCTGGCCATTACTTTTGTTATCTAACATACGAGGTGAATGGTGCAATGCAGCGACCAGTGCATGCTTTAAATGTACGGTAACACTTACATAGGTTATGGAACGTAAGGACAAAACAGTAAATATATCATTCTCGATCCATCATCCTGATCCCATCAATACGATAACTCAGGGACACAACGGAGATACAATGAAATTAAAACGATGTATTTCTCGTTCCTGCTTAAGCACGCTCATGTTCTGTCGTTTTCTTAACCTCGCTTTACCTCTCCATAGATTTTCTTACATCATATGTGACAGTCGAGTTAGCGAGAATACTAAGTTAGTCTCAGGCTACCGTAGTTATTTTTGTAACAATATTTATATACAAAGGTGGAGTAATTAAGTGTAAACATATGCAACAGCGTACGTCACTATGGTTAATTGTTTGTCGCAGATTACACAACATGTCACATTCGGGTCATACTTTTTTCAGACTACTTCTAGGAAATCCAGGTTGGAATTCCCGTTATAATAAAATAACAAAGTGTCTGACACTTTTCAGTTAATGCTAATTGAAGCATAGTCCGCTTACTCGTTGTAATATTAATATACACAAACGAGGAAAACATAGTATCGCCCATTTATAGGAATTTATACAGGTCAGAAGTGCTTCTGTACCGTAAACCATACAATGAAGCTGAAGTTTAAATTATAATCCATATTTTATTCAGGAAAATGAAATATACTGCCATCAGAAAATAAACGTAAGAAAATCAGAAATCTAACAAAACCGGATGTACGCGTACGGCATCAACCTATAAAAGTCAAGGTTAACAAGTGTGTCACAATCGCAGTTTAATTCTGATGATGAATGGCAATGTTTGTTTACAAAACAAATATGATTAATTGTGAAAAGCCTGAAGCATACCCTGGCAATTTTTAAAGTCTTCAAATGCCTCGTAGTATAAAAGGGATTGTTGGATCATACAAGATACATATTAGTTGTATAAACCGGCGAAGCCTGCATACAATGGTCCTCTATGATAGTAATGGTGCACTACTAGTATGTGCTTGCATACTCTTTACTTTTGTTTGCATGCCTGTGGAAATGATCTATCTAGAAAAACTGTCCACAGTCTACTTACCACACACCTACGTGAATGGAGTTGGACAGTTTCTCTATAATGAAGACGCCGCTGTGCAGTTGACCTACGACCGACATAATCATTATATCTACGTCATTGGTATGTTGATAATTTAAATTAAGATTGGAATGACTTCCCTCAGTTGCTACCAAGATTTCAACTTTATTGTGTCACTTGCAATCCCTAAGCTAAGCTTAGCTAGAAATTTATTGAAAGGTGATAATCACTTGTGATTGCTCTGTACAGCTAAAAAAAGGGTTACGTCACGTGTTGAAAAAAGCTACTTATTGAAAATATATGTTTTACATAGTTTAAATACTTACTACGCTTGTAGCATGCTGCTTTGACTATCCTTTTCAGATTTAAGGATTGATGTTAGACAACGAGCATAATGTAGTACATCACACATTTGAATGTTCATTATACATGTATCTACATATATTACTTTATATTATAACTATGCATACTTGTATGTATATGTTTTGTCTTCAGTTGTTTTTGATAATGCGTTGTGCTATTGTGATATGGCGTATATAGTCGTTATGAATGTCAGAACCATCCAAGTAATCCTCATATTTCGCATTAGCGTAATATATGTTTATTGCAAAACTCCAGCGATCTACAATGTCAAAGCAAGACAATGCAGTGCTTGTATTTACAGTTTCTACGGATGTTACTGAATCGTGGTCAGAAAGACGTGATCTTAATTAAAATTTAAAAAAATTAAAACACAATAAATCGCAGTTCATACCAGTAAGTTAAAATTGCGGCATTCCCGTGCCAATGGGGAAACATTAATGATATCATAAACTAAGCAAAGAACTAATTAGTACAACGTTTATAATAGTTTGTTTAACCAACTAACAGCATTGTCTCCTTTGTTCATATCCGATAATTGTATTCTACTGAATCGTATGTCAAATTTCAAAAATGATTTAATACAATCCGTTCCTTTTGCCTAGTTTGAATATCGGAAACCTTGTGATAATACATTTGATTTTTTTTAAATTTACCTTTTTTATCTTTTCGTTGTGTTTTCTTTTTCATAAGACAGATTATTTTTTTATAGAACAAAATATTCCTGTCAACTTGTTTTCCCAAGTCTTTTCTGATATTCTCCAAGCAAGCAACATTTGCCTTGTTTGTTTATTTAGGATGCAGTGATAAAATTGCAATAAGACAAAGTATAAGACGCATTCTTATAGTAATACATTTGATCATTCAGATCGGTGTCACTTCTGGTATCTTGGTTTCTTCTGCAAGCATAACTGTTTGGTGATAGAGTTCATTCTTGCAGATCATTGATCTTAATTATAAAAAATTTAGACCCATCGACGACAACCGCCATGTAAACTTTTGTCAATCCCGGTAAGTGATGTCACGTTCTCAAATGTGAGCAAGGCATACAACAACGGAACCAATGGGAATCAAACAAATAATAAACATATCATACAAAAAGATATATTTCTCAATGAAATCACTATAATAACCGTAAAACGTTCCCGTAATTTATGTTAGTCTAATGATGTTATGGAAGGGTAATAACTCTTGTTTCTGTTTCGCAGGTCGTGAAGTATTCCATGCTATCGACATCAGCAATGTCAGCAATCCGACTATCATCTTCAATAATCAATCGGCAGGAGTCACATTGAGGGCTGTCGAGATCTGTGATAACTATCTGTTTTTATCAATGATGATTAACGAAAACTCTGGTCTTTTGGAGGTATACAGAATCGAAAATACGGGTACCCATACCAGAATGCACAGTATCCCAGGTAACCGAAGCTATTATGTATCCCATGTAACCAGATCTATTATCTAAGAAGATATGATCATAACGTCACGAATGTCAAATTAGGATAACCCAAGTATATATCAAGTTATACATGTATGATAGATATGGAATTGTTTCATAGTTATAATATTACAGGGATACAGAATACAAACTATGGATACCCATACTTGATGTACAGTACCTCGGGTAGCATATGGTATTTATTAAGGGGTCTGATCATGATAACACGAATGTCAAATTTTAATATCATATGTATCTCATACTATGACAGGCATGTCATCAAGATTTCACAGTCATCCTGTCTTGATATAAGTGATGTATCATAATGATTTCATAGAAATCACACTAATTTTACAGGAATATCGTTATTACAGGGTTGGATACATCACATGTCTCCCCTCTAAGCATGGCAAATACCCTATCTATCATTGATGAAGCCTTTACCTGCAGATTTAAAGATTTATCAACTTTTGATCGTTACAAACACATTTTGGTATTCTTGTGATAATTATTATCGTCTAAAATACCATATATACACGTATAAAATGGAACCAGGCACTATGTAGTGGACTGTCCGTTTAACCTCATAGAAACATAGAAAAGTCCATTGCGAGAACATCATGATATTGATTTCATCTCGTTGCTTTGAAATTCTTAAAAAGAGTTCAAACAGCAAACACAACGTCCAATATTTCAAATACATTATTAAAAACTTTAATAGTTATTGGATCAAATCTTAATGACCAGTCCTATACAACTCATTAATTTTATCTATTTTTTCTTCTGTGCAGTTGGCGTTCGTCCAGACATGATTATGCCTACTTCAGATTGCCGAACTGTTGTTTTCGCCGTTGAAGGCAATGCGTACAACAACGGTTCCCATTTTATCGATCCAGAGGGCGCTATAGGTATAATTCGATTTCCTCATGCCGACGGGATAGCGGGATCATACCAATATACACAACTCGACTTCAGAAAGTTTAATGACGCGTAAGTAGAATCTGTTAACATCTTGTCGTTATTATTGTTTTTTTTTTAATTTGCAATAAGGATTAGAGATACAATGTAATGAAATACATGTTTTTAACTTTCTTCGGTTTAGTTGGCAGGACCTTGTATCTCGTGGAGCCCGGTTTATCTACAGAGAGAACAACAACAAGTTCTCCAATGATGTGGAACCGGAGTATATCACATTTAACACGGATGAGAGCATCGCATACGTATCATTACAGGTAAGTTTTCTTAACTATTCATCTACTTGCTTGCTCCATTATCTTTTAGGTTATACGATACATGATGATCTGTCTCAGGTTTGCTAACATGACGTGATGTTGTTGTTTTTTTTTAAATTATCCCCCCACCCCATTTTTTGTTTTTGTTTTTTTTTTTTGTTTATTATTATTGTGCTCTTGTCTTGGTTGATTAAGATGTCCAAAGAAACAGTTTGGTGTCTGTATAAGAGATAAGGATTGTACATTGAGATTATATAATTAGCTTGCTTGTCACAAATTGCTTAATGATCACGAGGTTTTCCATCCATTTCCATATTATCACTACAGGAGAACAATGCTGTTGCCGAGGTAGACTTGATCACACTAAATATTACAGCCATCCACCCGCTAGGTTTCAAAAACTGGACAGAATCCAAACTCGACGTCAGCGATAAAGACAAAGGTAAACACTTTGATAGGACCAACTATAAATTTCTCTGAGTATCTCCAACGTTTACTTCCTTTAAGAGATATTTTTCCGTGAGTTTCGTAATCCATATAGCTATCAACTGCCAAAGTGTACACTAGCTTGTATTCAATAAGCCATTTACCACCTCTACATCAAACTTATGGAATTAACTTTTTAATTATGTAAAATATTTCAACTCATCCTCAGTATTTAACATGTACATATCATCTGTGCCTTCCATTTTGCTTAAATAATTGAATTCCGGTAACCAAGATGTTTTGGCTATTTCAGCGCGAATTAGACATAATTGTAACGGATTGAAAATTGACTTATTCCATGCAGGGATTTACATGTCATTGCGGTGAGGTTAATGACGATGGCTAACGTTCTTGGTCACAATTTGGCAATTAATGAAAAATATTACTCAATGCTCTTCAAAATCGGTTTCTGCTGATCTTTCATCAAGAAATCATTTAACGGAAAGATTAAGAACTTTCAATTTAAACTTATAAAAAAAAAAAAAAAAAAAACCCATCAGAGCTAGTGCAATCATTCGTATAACTAAAAAAAGTTTGAATATAATTACGGGACAACTATTGCATCCAATATACCTCCCCTCCCCCATTCTCTGTATCATCCCTTCTTTAATCTTGACTTCACCTGTTTCCCCTTTCCGGTATTTCATATCAATTTTTGTATCAATTGTTATAATTGATGAATGAATAAAGTATACTGCATTGTAAGACAGATCTTTATCTGCATATACTTAAATGTATGTTTGTTTACGAGAAAAGTACTACCAAAATATATCCTGTGAAATAATCCATAAAATCTTTTAATATGGCGATTGTTATGCATATTGTGAATTTCTGTTTCAACGTTTTTTTTTTCTAGGTATAAATATTCGGCAGTGGCCGGTGATGGGTATGTACCAACCTGACGTCATCAAATTTGTTACCATTGGCGACAAGTCCTACCTCCTCACAGCTAACGAGGGTGCTACAAAGGACTACTCTGATATTGAAGGATCAGGAGGCTTTAATGAGGCGTCGAGGGTGGAGGACTTAACCATAGATGGTATATATAGAAGTAAAAAAGTCAATTAACTCTATAAATAGTAACGGTTTGGGATTACTTAAAGAAAAACCCACTACATTACATATTAAATGGTAAAGGTAATATATTAAAAGTAGAATTCTTTCTTGATATGGTAAATTAGCAGACATATGTTGTCAATTGATTCTGTGTTTTCGAGGTCATTCCAATTCGTATTGTGTTAATGATAACTGTAGCTTAGACATAATTTAGGTTTTAAAATAGGTTTGGATATTTTGCACCAATATTTTTTTCTGTTATATCTAAGTGATATCTTAAATGATAAGTAATATATTCTCAAAATAATTTTAGTCCGCAGAAATAAAAGTCACTTCATTTAAGACGTGAGAGATAGTATTGTATAAGACTGAAATCATAGCTTTTCATCTAACAATGTCAATGTTGATATACTGTCCAAATATCTACCGTTTAAATGAAATAAATATTTCTTTTAAAAATAGAGCATTTTAAGTTTCTTCCAACCTGGTTTGCAAACATTGATGTGCATTATACTATCTAAACTCAAACAACTAGATGGTTACCTAGCTAGGGCCAGCATCCAAAACTAACTAGCTTGGGAATCGTCTGGGAGTTCCTAATGAATTCCTATTGATAAAGAAATTAATACGTTGAAATATGTTGTGTGTGTGCTCTCCAATCTTAGTGTCGATGCTGATGACAACATGATAATGACTCTTGTTGTCTAATGATATCTAGCGAGTGTCGCCAACAAAATGGAAACGTTAACTATCAATTACAAAGACATCTTGAGTTTTGTGTTATTCTCATTCTAGATCCTTATCACGAAACTGCGCATGTTCCATTTTGGGCGAGCCAGAACGGATTTTTTTGGAATCTTCAAACCGAGAAAAATCTAGGTAATAGATAAAATGTTGTGAGTTGTAATCGTTATTAAACTATTATATCTATATAACACATTAAACAAGTAAGATGTTCCTTTAATTTTTTTTTATTTTAATAAAATATAGAAATGAATTTATCATTTAGAAAGGAAATGTCTAAATTCGTTCTAGGTCCGCAAAAGCATGTTAAAGCGCAAACAGTAAATATAATTACTGGTACCAAATACCGCTTATATATTTTTATCTATAAACAATCATTTTCTTCCACTGTAGCAGTGTTCGCTGTGTATTCAATTTCGCTCTACCTTTATTAATAATGAATATAGTGAAATTAAATTCCCCTCGAATATTAACAATTGTACAGTAATAAAGGTTAGCAGCAATATTCAATAAATATGACTCTGTGCTGAAATAGAGTAATGCTTCGTTTAGCAAATGGTGCTAAGTTATTTATCGTGTGGACTATAATTACCTGCAGGACGGTTGGTGGTCAGTAACTTAGAGGGCAAGCATGACAATGTTTATGACGACCTCTTCACATTTGGCGGCAGGAGTATATCGTTATATGACACCAGCACTTTTACCCAAGTGTACGACAGCGGAAGTGACGTAGAGGAAAAAATAGCACAATATCAACCGGATCTGTTCAATGCCAATGGGAAACCTGAATCGTCGATTGTTTCTAAAACTAAAGATGCGCGGTCTGATGCAAGGGTATTGTAGCAAATCGTAACATTTTTTTCGCTTCCATATATCTGTAGAGCTACCATACAACGTCCAACTATTTACAGCATAACTTTTGCGAAACAGACTATAGAATAAAAGCCTATAATAGTTGTTTATAAACCTTTAAAGAAGATGTTTCGATCGCGATATTCGCGAAAGTGAATTGCGCCAGAAAGAATACTGTGTTTTCTACAAACTGTACTTTATCTTATACAAACGCGGTATAACTGTATATTGTACAATGCGTAGGGTGGCATAACCTATATACATAGTAAAAAAATAACGTTTAGATGAATCATTGTTTCTTCGTAATTCTGCTCACAATCTTATATTATCATTCGACCTCGCTAGAAACAATAAATGTTCTGTGTTTTACTATAATTGCCCTGTTATTTGAAATCTTCTCATTTCACGAATATTCCTTACCGTATACTTCGTTGATAAAGGATCTATTCTATCGCTGGTAATAGGCAGCTTTCTAACACAAACGTGCATGAAATACAATATATTCAGCGATTTTTTTTCCCGACGAAGGGTCCAGAAGTTGAATGTCTAGCTGTTGCTAAAGATGGTGACTCCACAGTGATCTTCGTCGGAATAGAAAGACCAGGCCTCATCGCCATCTACTCTATCCCAGGTTCCGACGTGAACGCCATCAAGTTTGAGAGCCTTTGGAGTGGAATACCGAAAACAAATGAAACATATCAGAGTCTCTATAATCAGCGTGTCATCAGCGATGTTGGTCTTGACGATCTCAGGTGAGGGAGGAGATGTTAAATTGTGACAGACAAATTGTAGCAACATGTATATGTAAGGACCATTAACAGTATTTTTTTTTAAAGAAGTATACCCTGGCTGATTGTAAATAGCAGGTATTTTACACGGTATGTATGTATGTAAACGGAATGAAAAGTATGTGTCACAAGAACCCAAATAAATTAATCGACCACTCTCTTTTAAACATTGACCTATATATCACATAAGTTTTTAAAGCTACGGACCAAGCAGATGTAGAATATTACTGAGTGGAAAAAGGCCATGTTGTTTCCTTCGGTCTTCTCATAATATCTTTTAATTCATTCAGACAAAATTTATCCTATCCTCTTCCAATTAAAGTAATTTTTTCTATAATTATTAGTCTTATTCCGTGTAACTCTCTATAAACAAGAATTCCTTATGGAACGTAAAGAGAGAATAGAAATGTGAGATTCCCGACGTTATTGAAATCTTTAAAGGATCATTGATCTCTTTAAAAGTGTCCTTGATATCTTGACTGACACTTTAGTATACTGTCACTTCATCAACCTGACTCGAAGCCCACCTCCCCTACAAAAAAATCAAAACTCGTTGATTTGGTAGGTCAATTGTTGCTTAACTGACTAATGAATTTCTTTACTCTTTGCTTTCACCTTTTTCCTTGTGTATTTATTTTTTTATTTTATTGAGGAAACAATAATGAAGTTTGAGTGTCAATTAATTAATTAATTGAAATGTGAGAATCAAATCAATTCTTTGTGAGTTATAACCATATTAACCCGGTATTATTACTCTGTTGTTTTTTCATTATGCGTTTTTTCTTTATCTTAAGTAGGATTTTATCATTTTTGCTATTTATACAGATACATTCCTGCTAACGAGAGCCCCAACAACAAGCCACTGTTACTGAGTACAGCGTCCACTTCTGGTACAGTCTCCATATTTGAGATAAAAGGTTTGACAGGACCTATCGGCAGCGGCAATGTGCGTTAAGCGTCTATTGGTACGCTGTAAGGGAGATAACTATGTTACCCTTGTAATGGAAGGGGCGATGTAAAAAATCAACTTATATATATTATTCGCTAGCACTTATTATAGAACATACCATATTATAATTATATTGTGACAATTTATGCAGCTCATCAAACGACTCCATTCAAGGTTGTTCACTTGTGTGACGTAGTTAATATAACAGCTTTCCATTGTTAGGGCTACTAACGCCTAAATTAGTGAGCGGAAAACAGTACTACATCTTAACATTGCGGCATCACAGGCATGTAGGATGGTTATTTATAGTGTCTCATAAAGCGTCTGATTACTACTCGCGGTATCACCTCTCTTGCCCACATTGTATGATATGCATTACTCGTTGTACTTAGTGCGAAAAATATTAACGGGTTAGTATGTAAACTGCACGTGATAGAAATCTGACACTTGAACTACAGACTCCGCTTTATTCTGTTACTTCAACAGAATATTCCATTTCTAGTGGTACTTCAGACATTCTTTATGAATTTATGACGAATCATACTGACGGACATTGTGCAAATTGTCATTTTTTAAAACGAGTTTCTAAGTTAGTCAGGTTCGTATGTTTCATTTTTAAAAAAAATTTTTTTCAAGACCGACATAAGTCTATCTAGATCTGTTATCAAACATTAATTATGCTTATTCATATCATAAGAACTTTTTACGTGGGGATGTGTGCTGTTCTATTTGTTTCAAACTTAGTGCAACTGTATACGCTTTTTATTTGATTAGTTGTGAAAGAGAGTAAGTCTGAAAAATACTTCTCTTGACACATGTCACATATAAATCGTGATGCGGGTAAGCTTTGTATGACAGGGTAACAAATACTGATTTATTGTACGAAAGGAAATATATACTACGCTAAGTGTTTTGTGATGTCCAGCTTTTGATATATAATAAAGCTTTCCACCAATGAAATGAAGTGTTCGTTGTTACTATGAATGCGATTGGTTAAGTACCATACTGATGATGTAGAAATGTAAAGCCTTTTCACATAAACATGTATATTTTATTAAAATGTGTACACTTAGGATAAGGGTCACAATGCTATTATGTAAATAGACAAAGCATTTAACAGAGCGCAGGTTTTGTTACGTTATATATGTATATCTTATTACTAAATAGTCTGGAACAAGGCGTAAACCAATCCTCTCGTAGATGGAAGTTCCCGTCGTGATGCGACCGGTTTCAATTTTCTATCAGTTATATTCAGTGAAACGTTTTTTTCTTTTTTTTTTTTCTTTTTGTTTATTTCTTTTTTTTTAAATTTTTATTTCAAATGACAGTTTACCGTTTCAAAAATCATATATTCTCATCAAATTTTAAGCCGATATGGTTGTAAATGTTTTGGTTCTGCAAATATTTGGGTACCGGCGAAGTAATTTATAACGCACTTTTCTCACTCTCGCGAGAATAGAACAAGATGTATAGCTGTGCATCTTGGTTTGTTACTTACTTCCTTTCCGTATAAAAAAAACCAAAATGTAATACAAAATAATACTTTACTTTAAGATTATTAAATTATATCTTTATATACCAAACATCATATCGCCGCAGTTTCTCTTTTTGTTTAGAGATTATTTCTACATGGAGTACAGCTTCCGGTTTTTCGGACCACCAGAAAAAAATTGAAAGGGAGATAATCATGTCCAGGTCTCCAATCTTTAAATCCCATACTGTAGTCTTAATAGAGCTACGTTGTTATAAACAGTAACATCTGACAACAAACCTTGCGGCGTTTTAGCAAAATCAACATCAATGAGGAAAATCTTAATGGAATCTTGATTCAAACTGAAAATCGATGAAACCAGGGCAAAATATAAACAAAGGAGTGAAACACGAAGATCCCAGAACAAATATCACCGAGAATAAAACAGAATAAAATGTAAACAGCGTCAGAGTAGGCTTCATTGACGACGTCAGCCATGTCAATATTAATAAAATTATACGCGATGACCTACATTTACCTCGTAATAAGTGCTGTTTTATTGTTACGTTTCTGTTCTATTCATCAAATCTACTTCCCATTTTCCTAAATACATGCGTGACTGCTCAGGCATCATGTCCATTAGAATGTTGATAATTTTTTTTATGTAATTATAATGATATATTGCCGACTTACGTTCCTAAACATGGCTATCAAATCAACGTTCTAAAATGTCTTCCTTTCAAAGTCACTGAATACTTAAATAAACACCAATGTAAAGTTCCACCACCAAGCTTTTATCGTTATTAATAGATTATATAAATCTTATCAAAATAATGGCATTGCTGCATTACTATACATTTGTCATATCATCACCTCAGATATCATGTTTTTAATTGCTTTTAGCAAGCGTTTCTCATCGTATATACTGACCGTAAACGGAAATCAGGGCAACGACAGACCCGTCCCTAAAACAGAGGCTTACCACAATTGCTCCAAACATGTAGCCAACAAGAATAGCTTCCCACCAAGCTCTATGGAGGGTTCGAATATTTCAATTTCCTTTTTCGTGATATTTCGATTTCTAGATAGTAGCATCTGGGATAAACTAACTTTGGTGTTTACAATTCGTAGTTGATTCGACGTGTTGTATTCAAAATTATGTTCTATGAAGAAGTTTAACAAACCTGGACATAAAGAATCTGACATTTATAGTGTTATTTTTTTGGAATGCCGTTTAGGACATCCTCGCTGTTTGTATTGGGTACAGTGTATTGGACACAGCGTAATGTTATCTCCTATTGACCATTGAGGTATAGTCTATATTAATATCCCATCACATCGCGCACTGACCAGTTATGCTAGTCGTCCAGAGCTGGAATGGACAGGGGACTCAAATTGAATGATAATTGAACGTGCTATCTTCTGTTGATAATTTCAACTTTGATAGCCAGCATGAATATCCGTAAGTGTTTTATGAACATAATACAGTGATATATACATTTAAACCATTTCATTATGTGGATATAAATCAGAAACGTTTATGTAAATCATACGCCTACAGACAACCGTATCAATGATAACCAATGTTTCGTGAAGAAAGTCAACAAGCAACGATAAGTCACCAAGTGTATGATCAACATGAGTCGTCACTACGTTCCTATCCAAATCGGTTCAGTTTCTGAACCCGATGATCTTTTATTTGCGTACTTAAAAATCAATTAGAAGAAACAACTGAAATAACACTTATCATTGTTAGTTAATATCAAAACAACCAGAGACATCTCTCTTCTCAGTAACATCTTCCTTTTGAAAGAATAAACATACACACCTTAGACTGCTTAACGATACCGTTGTTGTAAGATGTGCCTTGGTAACACAAAAGCCATGAACACATTTTTGTTCAAGCTGAGTTTGCACTCTTACGTTTATTGCTCAACAATTAATCACGAGCAAGGATTTTGTTGTCCTCAAGAACAATCGGTTGATCGACCCATATTAGTTTTAAAGTTTAATATCTGTAAAAAATGTTTGGCTTTGCAACACATTAGATGGACATGATACTGCTAACAAAGCGTGTATCGATTTGTAGATAAAGGTAAAACATATAGTCTTCAGTAAGTAGAAGTTTCCACCTGTGTAAAACAAATCGTGAATTAGTTAATGTTTTGGTATCGGGTGCTTGAAGTTAGTATTAAATAAACCAGAGGTAACCAATCTGTTAGAAAAGTATCCCAGATATTGACCAATGAAACAAGACATCGCCAATATATCTCAAAGTAAAATTGAAGGATTTGACAATATCTTTGTTTAATTATTTACTATTCGCTTATATTGAACACTACCACCACAAAAACACACGAACAAATATGCACAGAACAGGCCATTACCAACAACATCAGTAACGTTATAGACTGAAAGAAGTGATCCTTATCTTACATCACCTGCACATTTACATTTACTTTACTACTTGTTTTGTTAAAGGTAAAACAGCAATAAACAAATGTACTAATCGGTTATCTCGAAACAACCTTGATAACACACACATCACGTGAGAGTATAAACACAATACAATATACAACCTTGATAACGTACATATCACGTGGGATATAAAACCAATACAATATACAACCTTGTTAACGTACATATCACGTGAGAGTATAAACACAATACAATATACAGCCTTGATAACGTACATATCACGTGAGAGTATAAACACAATACAATATACAGCCTTGATAACGTACACATCACATGAGAGTATAAACACATTACAAAATACAGCCTTGATAACGTACATATCACGTGAGAGTATCAACACAATACAATATACAGCCTTGATAACGTACACATCACGTGAGAGTATCAACATTATACAATATTCAACAATGATAACGTACATATCCTATTTTATCAAGAATACATATAAAAGCAAAGTAGAGTTTTACTGAAGTTTGTGACACAAAATACAATTCACTACAGAATTTGATTTGACAAAGTGTAAATTAGACCATTGAATGTTGATGCAGCACAACCCTAGATTCAGCACGTATTGTCCTTAAGTGTCAGACATAAAGTGTAGTTTGTGTGTGAAGTTCGTGTGATATTGCTATAATAACTCCTCGGTATGCATACTAGCTACGCTGGAGGATTAAACAGGAAGGTCATTGAAGCTTTACAGTACACTATAAATACATATATAATATATACATACCATGCTTCGAGACGATGTCTTTCAATGTATTGAACACCTCTTTATTGTTTCATTCCAGAGGTGGTATATCAAATTCATAAGGATATGAAACAAACAGGATCTCTTTGTATCGAGAACATTTGATATGTAATTGAAATTATGTTTGTTTTGCCTTGGTTAGATTACGCAGAGTCTACAAAACGAACATATTCTGAGGATAAGGATTACTCAATTTCTCACATACTTCCATGTGATTTATCAAAACAAGTATTCGGTAAACATAGTTATCATTTACAAAAGCCTCGTCATACATGTATATATTGTTCTACTTTATGTGTAATTGCCTTATGGAGATATATGTGCTTTCAATACGGTTATAATACTGAGTCAAATTCAGCTCGACAAATGTATCAGCATGATGGTCCAGGTGTGTATAAAACTTGGCCTAACGACATATCAGGACTAAGATAGGATTATTTAGCGTAACGCTGAAGTCTTTCATCAAGGAAAAGGGCACAGGAAAAAAGTTATTGATATACATTGTAGTCTCAGTATATCTGAAAAACAACATTATATATTGAGACAAGAAATAAAAATAAAAGAAATAGTAGTAATATCTTAAAGAAAAGGTCAAATAACGAAAATCACATTGTATATAGCTGTGACTTAACGTAGCGTATCTCCAGAAATAAAAAATCAAGAATGAAGAAATATTAAAACAAAAACACTTCTATCATTTCTTAATTACTGGAATAGAAAAAATCAAACCTTTAGAAATAATGGATAACAAAACGTATTTACAGAACGTGTATAACAGGGATGAAATGATATACAAGGCGGTAGTTACCAAGGTAACCAGTCAACCTCGTAAGTCATGTAGCGTCGTAACAGAATAAATTCTATCACTCCAGCACAGCTGAAAATACAGTGTAGTCTAATGTGAATTATATGTGTCCATGGGCAATCAAATATTGCTGAGTTGAATAAAATCAAATGATTTGCAGATGTATATTTGGATTCCAGATTATTCAACTAAATCGTTTGATGTTACACATTTCTCTGTGTAAGACATTCTCCCGTTTTGCTTGCCCTGTTAATAACGTTTTATTATTTGGGGATTACGTCTATTGTATGACACGTTTGTGGTAGAGGTGATCGGCGACCAATAGTTCAAAATTGTCTAAATATATCCTGTAATAGCTTTAAGACGAGGGGGATGGCAGACTGAATGGACTTGTAAGTATTATAGCGAATTTTCGCAATGGTATGTAGTCACAATTATTCCTATCTTTCATCGCACACTCCATTATAAAATTGTTAGTGACGAATAGTACAAACCATATATAACATGTGTCATTTATATATTGAATAATCGTTCAATACACTCACTGAAAATATCTACTGCATCGTACTGACAATAGCTCACTGATGGAGTAATTGTTGGCAATTTAGACATACAGAATAAAACGCTCTATATTATGTATTGCACAATGCATGTTAGTCAATTGTAAAAAAGAAAACATCTGGAGATACAACCAATGATAGCGTTATCATTTAACCACGCGTGGCAAAAACAATTATTTCATTTTTTATCATAAAAAACTTCAATAATTCAATATATACTATATAGGATTTTTTCTTTTACGATGACTCAATTTTTTTTATTGTTTTACAAAAATCTTGCAGCAAAACGGATGTAATATTCAATGAATTCATGAGATGTACTGTAACAGTCTATCTCAATCTTATTGTTAATGTTCAATTTTGTAGAAAATATAAACCCAAGAAAGTAATATTTGTTTTTTTCAATAATCAATATTGATAAGTCTCACGATTTATTGAAAATATTTAAATATCTCTGGTGGGCTTATCATCCGTTTGCTCGATTTATATTTTTTTCATGTACGAAGCATAGCTTTTGTCTTGTGTAATTCGCAGTCGTCAAATATAAGTGTGCTTCCATATACTTTAAGGCGTTTTGTAAAGTCGAACAGCAAATATAACAAGGAAGAAAAAAATCACTATTTGATAAAACTAGCATACCCTGGTACGATATGGACATTAAGAATGATAAAAAAGTAAAACTCAAGTGCATTATATCTTATATCGATGTTTTAATGGTAATCTGTAAACGAGCCCTGGGCTGCACCCAGTGTAAGTACGTCTACTGTCAAAGGTCATGTTGGTACACTCCCTGCGGGTGACAGTAAACAGACTACATACAGCACACAGACAAAATGTCAATGTTAAAAAACAAATGATTCCAATTTGTAGTGCAATATATATCCGGCTTCACTTACCACGGATTTTATATGACAACAAGTTAGAGGTATATTGACACCGTATCATCAAGAATTGTCTTATGCTTAAACCAAAATGACAATTCTGTTAAAACAGATGGGTTTTCTTCATAACGGATCTGCTGTTTTCATTTGTGTTTTTCTGATGGTACTGTTTTTATTTCCTGTCAGCACTTCTCACCAGGGGCTCATTAAACTTGAATATTCATAATTCATTTAATAGATTTGACATTAGGAGATTGTGAAAACTGATAGTCTGAGGAAAAACTTAACGCGTTGTCAGCATAAAAATAAATATTGTAAGCATTATCCTGTGATGGAGCGATTGATACCATGTAATATGGCATGAAATGAAGTTGAGTGTCAGTTAAATTACAGTCGCTGTCCACCCACAGATGGAGTCCTTGAAAACCTTGGATTAGTCTCTACCATCTCATTTATAGTTATTGAAATAAGCTTAGTACGCGTCAACAAGCATAGTGCTTAAACGGTTGTGTTTCTGATGTTTTAATATTATTCAGTGACGAAACTTTAAAGTAACATTCATTTTTCTTATGTGCAATTTCATAGCGGCAATGATCTTATATAGATATATTTAGATAGAATAGAATATCTTCATTTCTAGAGTATTTCTATGGATTTTATAGAAAGTATACGTAACACTTCTTCATGTGTTTGAATACTAATTTCACAGAATTTAGAAATATCTGATTTTGAATATAGAAAAGCATGCTTTCAACTATTGCTTCTGAGGTAAGAAGTACGTTGATCTTACCCCTGCATTGCAAAAAAAAAAAAAAAAAAAAACTATGACATTACTGATATCATTAAATAAATAAGCCCTATTGAACCTGCTTATGTTTCCAAATCTCCACACCTAACATGTTTTCAGAAGTACAATGTTAGACTCAGGAAAAGTCGTACCAAAAATGTCGAAGGATCGTTTGTGATAGAAACAGTTTATGTCGATGCTGAAAAGAAAGAAGAAATTATCATGATACCGACTAGAAATCTGTATCACGCGAACACTGGGTATAAAAAAGGACATGGTAACAGGTGTTACCAATGTAAATATATTATTAGTAATGCACAATGCCGGAATACTAAGTAATAAACAAGTGAAAAGGGTTATACTTATCTAGAAAAATATAAAAAATAGAAGTTATAGAAAGAGTCCTGTACATTTCAACGTCTAATTATTGACATTTATTTCGATCTTTTTCATTTTCAAAAGTTGCCCCCAAATATTAGACAGACCCTCAGTATCACGCACGAATCACAGAAGGATAAAACTGCTGTATAATGAACTTACTGATTGGCTCTACCCTATCAAATTATTAATTATTGGAAGGTCCTCTTCAGTTGTGTGTCTTTTGGACGTTTAGTTCCTCATGTTTGCCGTAATTATTTGGTTATACTGTGTCTAATACTAAAGTATTATAACTGTAGCAGGTAATATTCAGTGTTTGTGCAATGTTGGATACTTATATATATATGGAAATTACAATTTTTGCCAGATCAAAAAAAGATGAAGTTGCGTAACTCGTCTCATGATGTGTAGATATTAATTTTATGTGGAGATTATAGCAATAAATCGGGATACCCTTGTGCTTTTAAGAAATAAAAATAAGAGATCGTTGTACTGTTTTTTGTAAAAGATAAAATTCATAATCGATGAATGGACTTTCGTTTTCACATACAAAGATAAAATTTAAAAAAGACATGTCCTCGTTAAAATGTAATGCCACAATGGCATGCGATGGAGGTACTTCCGAATCACTGTAGGAATTAACCAAATGAAAAAATGGACACATATTCAAAGGTATACAAGCAAACTATCAGGTGTTTAAAACGTTTCGTTACTTCGCTACAGGTTTAAAGAAAGCTTGGTACATATGTTTGAGAAAATGTTATGTTTCAAATGTCTACATCAGCAATTTTGTTACACAAAGAGAACCTATTTTCTTAACCGTAGAAAAAATATAGCACTTATTCTGATATTGCCACCACACATACCATATCTTAAAAGATTTTAACTGCAAACCCCTTTTAGGCATAGAAGGTAAATATCGTTAGTTTGATATACAAATACGTACCCATTAGATGTCAGTTTCCATATCAATAAGCACATGCACCGGGAATACCATATGTATCGTATCCTCTTCAGAGCCACGTCGATATGTCTCTTTAAAAACTGCGCAAATTATTCAAGGCTAACTCGTAAAGGATGTCGACAAAGCATTTTATTACAATGTGTATTAGTTCATTGCATTGTAAAGGACGACTTTGTATCTTCACAGAAATATATCTTACACGTGTATATTGGTAAGTGGTTAAGGTCAGGGGAGAAACGGAAAAGATAACAGTAATTCCAATTGAAAAGGCAAAACGTGTGAATACATTTTAATGTCCTAATTTATATTATTTGATTCACGAACGTTTTTCACAAGATGGAAACAACCTTCCATTAAATAAGATCGTTTTATGTATCATGTGTATAAGTAGGACAGTGGAGTTTGTTTTGTCTAATAGCTGAAGACAATGCACATGTTAATATGATTACGGATGACGTATAATTTCCCAGTGGCCTATATTTTGCGTACTTCCTCGCCTCAGTCCTACCCTTCACATCCGAGCCACATTCGAGGTCATCCTTATCGCGTAGGTATGTATATAAACAACGGTTTGAGATTCTCACTGTAAGAAGATTTTTGTCAGATGTCCAACATGGTCATGATACCGAAAGGAGGTTGTGCATTTGGTCTGCATCTTCTATTTTTCTTCCTTGCACATTTGGTGGACCCGACAACAGCAGGTGCAGGTAGGGAACTTACTTATCATTAAGTTAAGCTAACCGTTTTATAGTATTATAGTTTGCACTTAAATCTCCTATTCATTACATTGAAATCTTCTTCAATCTACAATATATAATTAACCCTTTCATTAACTGTTAAACAATTGAAAGTGTTGTGCATTTTAATATATGAGATTGAAACACATTTTGCTGCCTTTGCGATTTTTCATTATTGAGACGAACGACGGAAAATAAGGCTAATACAAAATGTGTGAAACGCACATCGAATATGATTAGATCCATTATTGTTTGTTAATGTTTTACTTTTATTTGTCTGTAATCAATACTTCTTTATTTCACTGTTATTGTTATCTGCCTGGGATATACTTATTCAATTCATGAAGTCGCGTTACTGTATTCAAAGAGTAAAAATACTTTACTTCTCTCCATCCTGATACTCAAACTTCAATTCGACATGAAATTAAAATGCTTTGGTGTAAAATTAATTTCATTACTATTAATATAGACAGGAAATACTTGTTTGTAATTAATAAATCGTTAATCAGTCTACATAAATATGTAAGACGTCACCTGTGTTTCTGCAATAGACATGAGCATGTTAACATGTGTTTGGCATTTGGTATTCTTAATAGTGCTGTTATGCACAGATAGACGGATTGAACTTTCCCCCTGAACTGAGAAGTTAATTACATCCTGATTTCTTTTCGAATGAATACTTTTTGTACAGCTGGCTAAAAAACAACACTACTCTGCTCTATAATGTATGCTTAATGTCGATGTACAAGTTTCAGTAACGAGCTGCTTCACAAATGTACTTTTAATATTACCGTGCTGTTATTGTCTGTGAGGTGTTTTGCTCCTGTTAGTAGCTGATATTACTGGAAACATTGATGTAGGATCAATGAATCAAGCGCGACCACGACTTGATATCATGAAGTACTAGTATTACAAAGATGATAACCATACCTTTATTAGCTTGTTACATCTCAGAGCAATGTAGCATGACTCATAGAACTGTAGACAAAGTCTATTAATTGACTACAATACTTAAATATCCCACACGTTTCAAGTATTTCTTTAGTAATTATTGTCTTGATTTCAGGATAATCTGAAGGTTCATGTACTATCAGATGTAGTATTTCCGAGGGAGTAACCCTTGGTAAATATCACATCCTGGCTATGTGGCAATAACAAGGTTCACTTATACACAGATGAAGCATTTCGATTCCGGAAGGCGTAACAATCGATAAATATCAAATCCGAATTCAGGGTATCCTGAAATTTTATATACCACCAAATGTAATATTTCTTAAGAGTGAAATATCATGTCGGAGCTTATATGGTAATTCGAAAGTGCATAACCAACAAGAGGTAGCATTTCCCGCAGGTGTAACTCTCATGAAAAAAAATCAAGAAAATACCAAGATAGCCACTTAATCATAATTCAAACTCAGATTCCATAAAACTTGGGCAAAACTGAACAAAAGAAAGATTTTTACGTAGACTCTTGAAAAAGTGCAAGGAGAAAAAGAACAGGTGTACCGGAAGACTAATCGTCTTCTGCTTCATCGACGACAAACGCCATGTAAACCACATCTGAGGTTGTTATGTAATGTGAACGTTTGTGTATCAATAAATGTTAGATGACGTAACCGCGAGAAATATCACATCTGGTGGTAACCTTTCGTTAGTTGTACATTTTTTGGCGACGCAGTCAAGTGTTAAACAATAAAATTGATTATATAATTTCAAGTATACCCATAAAAACAAGGATTCCATTGCCATACTAAAATAACTTGTGTCTACAATTAATGTAATTATCGCAATATCAGCAAAAATCAACAAAAAGTAATATCTTCACACCAATATTTCACAGCAAATCAAAACGCTTCTTTCAACCATTGATGACATAGAAGCTACACTCTCTTTCTAATCAAGTTGTCAACGCATTTGAAAAAAAAGGTTTAAAATGTTTCTTTGTGATTCCTGGTGATTCCTGTTGTACATACCTAATATGTGCAATGTCGCTCTCTGTCGATAAAGCAATGGACATGGCAGAGAGACATCACCAAAAGGTCATGACAGGAGACTCATCCGAAGTTAGTATGTTTCTTTCAAATGGAAATAGGGATTTATGTATCATTTTATATAACATTATCCAGTACAAGCAGAACACAATACCATGTGACATGATTTCATTCAATTGTGATATTATCGACCAATGTTGATAGTTATCGACATTCTAACATTTTTGACAGAGTCACTAGAATCGGAATATGCCAGAAAAATTATCATTGTCGTATTCTTGACTTAATATTTCGATGACACACTTTAGCATGTCGTTATAATATATTTATCCAATGTCGCTGTCCATCATCTGCCTCAACCAGAAAGATGGCCGTTTGGGCTAGCGGCATAATTCTTGAGTATATCGGGAATGAGGCCATGAAAAATTATTTGTAAAAATGCGTTATCTAATCATCTAACCATTTTTAAACTTGGAAATAAAGCTTTATATTAATCTATAAAAAGGTCATCCTTTGTTGTTTATTACATAGAACAAACAGAAATTAACCTACTTTGTTTGGGATAACGAAACTATCAATTTAGTCATTTGCTATTTTCAAAAGAGATCTGATATCGTAACACCATGTCAGGTGACGCATTCAGTTTTCACCCAATCAGTGACAATGTTACAAAGATAAGGTTAAAATCAATTAATATTGGCAATTATTGACTTAATTGAATTTTCAGGTTGGCGTACCTCCCTATATGGATTTTCGATACTTACTGCGGTCAGTTGTGACTTCCCTTAGCCGTTTCAGTAGTGAATATATGCCCTTAACATCACTTATGACCCCTTTGAAAAATGAAACAGCTGATGCAATTTAATTATTTCTTTGACTATACAATATGTAATTCAAAATTCATGTTGAAAGGTGTCATTCAGTAATCTTTTTTACAATCTGGGAGTGATACTAAATGACTGTTTTCTAGTCCACCGTTCAAGAAAACAGTGTTATCTGTTCAGGCGTTTAGAGACATGTTATAAATATGTCCATTATAATGACACCAAAAGCAAAAGAAAAAGAGATCAACCTTTAGAAATAGGGCCATAGTCACAGACGATAAAGGTGTGTCAGTATAGCTAGATAATACAAAGGTCAGCAAACATATCTACTCTGCACATCTTAGGAGTCAGGCGCCGTACAATAACCTTGACACGCGCTTCAAAAGTTGCCTTTTGATCAAATCATATTGGCAGTGGTGATGAAATTCTACCTCCAAAACTTTTGTTAGCCTCACCTACTTTGTTTTGGTAAACAGCGTGTCTTTTTAATAACAATAGCTGATAATACTATTATAACTGTAATATTGCATCTCAAACTGTGCTTATACAATATTACCACAGTTATGCATCTTAAAGAACTTTTAACTCATTTCAAATAATCTTTGAAGGACTCTTGACTGTATGTATATGTAGACGGTGTTGTAACACTACCTAAGGATTAGAGACGGTTCTTTAGTCATTTAATAACACATTTCATCTAGAAAAATGCATCGCCACTTCAAATTATGTCATTTCAAACTGTCGATATCACATACCGGAAATACTTCATGCTATCTATATGAAAAGTCACTTAACAGGTTTCACGAAAATCAGAGAACACTTCCTGTTTCGGTCAACCACGGAAGACGGCAATTGGCACATTTTGTCCTCTGTATTAGTGTATAAGAAAATAGTATCCAAAGCACCAATCTAACCTTAAATATATACCATTCTGATGAGTATCTAACTATATGAATAAAGGACGAACGAAACCAGATAAAGAAAAAATTAGAAACCATTTCAATATCTTTGTGGTTTGATTCATTTATTCCTTTCGTATACTCAAATACTCGTTAAATAAAGCTCTCTGACGAAGCGGTAGCAAAAGTGACCAAATGATAGGTAATGTGATTTAAATGATATAAGTTATATACTATCGATTTCTGTAGAGTAAAAAGTCTGATAGAATATCAATGATTTAACCACACAAGAGTTTATCTAGCGTATAACTGAAGACATCAATAATCGTTTATTTCTATACAATCTTCGTGTCAAAGGAAGAAATAAAAATTGCATTAATGATGAAATAGACCAATGATAATTCCAGATATGGGTTAAGATTGAATGGATCTGATACTGATAACCAATGATAAGTCTAGATAGGGATTAAGATCGGATGGATCTTATACTGATTACCAATGATAAGTCTAGATAGCATTAAGGTCGAATGGATCTTAATGCTATCAACCAATGATAAGTCTAGATAGGGATTAAGATTGAATGGATCTGTTACTAATTACCAATGATAAGTCAAGATAGGGATTTAAATTGAATAGATCCTATGCTAATTACCAATGACACGTCTAGGTAGGAATTAAGATTGAATGGATCTTATACTGATTACGAATGATAAGTCAAGATAGGAATTAAGATATAATGGATCTTATACTGATTACGAATGATAAATAGCATTAAGATCGAAGAGATCTGATACTGATAACCAATGATAAGTCAAGATAGGAATTAAGATATAATGGATCTTATACTGATTACGAATGATAAATATAGATAGCATTAAGATCGAAGAGATCTGATACTGATAACCAATGATAAGTCTAGAAAGGGATTAAGATTGAATGAATCTCATACTGATTATAAAGAAAACAGGAACAAAGCATAGAGAAACAAAATCATGCAGTAACCATCATCTAAATGGAATAATTTGTTTGCCTCTGGCTGTCCTATCGTTTTTACGTAGTACGTTGAATAAGCACACATAAGTACAAGTCAGATTTTAAATAGGTACATATGCAATACAATTGCTATTATAACCAGACATTACAACATTATTAGCAATCAGCATGAATTGTCCACACTAAATAACTATTAAATGAAAATGGTATTATGTCTTTTTTCAGAATATTGTGTATTTTCAGAGGACGACCCCATTTAAACA